CAGAGGCCGGCGTGTTTCTACAGTAGCCTAGAACGGACAAATTAAACACTAGCTCTACTACTAGTGTGGTTTCTGCTACACACTGAGCTGTATTCACATCTGCAACGTCCCCCCCGGCTCTGGATGCCACTGAATCCTACACACTGTTGTTACATTATCCTGACTTTATCGCTTACATTACATAACTATATCATTTATTCCACTATCATCAGTCAACACGCAGCTAGTGCTTGCACGTTTCCAGCTTCAGGACGGCTTCTGGACAGACCAAAGTGCACTGAATGGTTTAGCGTCTGGAATCAGGAGTGTTGTTTTTGGAGAGGAACCAAGAAAAGTGACTTTTAGTTTTAATTTCACTCAGTATTGTATCAGAAAGACCATTACCATCCTCACTGCTGTCTGACTACAGTCCACCGATGTATGTAACCTGTGTGTTCTCTGATCTGTGTGTTTGTATTTTTCATTATTTATTTATGTGTACTCTGCTTACATGACATTTCAGTCCATCCTAGGAAAAGTGATCCCTCCTCTGTTCCTTGTGAGGTTTCTTTCTATTTTGACAGCAATTTAGTATCGCACTTCAATTAAGCTTTAAGGACTCACAAAAGACAAAGTACCAAAAAAATAATCTGTCAGATTTTGTGCAGCCGAAGCAAAGATATCCTGACTTTTCATCCTGAGTATGAGTTTATCCTGAAGACACTGGATCCTACACTTCATATAATGCAACTCAATAGTATATTTCATTAAATCCACGGAGGAGGATAGCGCCACACATATTCTTTATAATTTAACAGTAGTCCACGGGTCTACAGCTGCTGGTAATGCAAGAAGAAATGTAAAGACACAGCTTTGCAAATGTTACAGGAGGAAATGCGTTCAGCTTGTTCACCAGGCCTCGGGGATAAACACACACACAATGTGTTTTCATGAGCAAACACTGAATGTAAACATAACTTTTGCATGTTTACAAGAAAACTCCCCGGCGGGGAACCTTTAAACTTTTAAGTCTTAAACCCAGACTCAAGCCTGGTCCACACGGCGTGCGTGAGCGGTGCGTCGCGGCCGCCTCGCTGCAGCTCGCACGCCTGTGTGAGTGTTTCTGCTGCTGCCTTATCTTCCTACAGTGATAAATACAACACAATAAAAGCCTTGTTAACAAATGAATGGATTCTGTCCACAGAAATGCTTGAGAGCTTGAATTAAAAACACATTTTTTTAACATGTCAGTGAGATATTTTACAGATATAGACACTGAAACTGTAGTGAGAGGTGTATATGTTTCTGTATGTGTGTATATGACTATGAAAAAGGTCCTTTTCACTGTCTGAGAAGCTCACGCAGGCAGTGTGGGTCTAACCTGTTAGCATGGTGCCAAAATAAACAGCAAGACAACCTAACACCACGCAAGCTGTCGCAGTGGCCAATAGCAATGAATGAGCGCCGTGAGCGTTGAATATTGATAGGCGGATGTCATGATGCTATTGGTTGAATTGGCACGTCATCTTCTGTTTTACGAAGAATATAAAAGACATTTGTGTCTTTTTTTTTGTCTGCACTGTTAAATACGTGCACAATATGGCTTGAGGGGGGTGGTGTGATCTAAAAGAGTTAAAAAGTCAGTTTTTATTTCATCTTTAACTGAACTTTATGTGTAAAAAAAAAATGTGCAAACATATTTGAAAAGGGGGAAGTTTTTTTTTTCTTATTTTGAAACTTTTGAAACCTTGAAGGCTGTCAGATGCTGTAACAGAGACTAAAGAGAGAGTAAATACAAACATAAAAAGAGAGACAACGTGGCTGTCGTGTTAAATAAATGAATGAAGACCTGTACAGTTTTGCAGGAATGTGCAAGTTAGTAAGCACCTGGAGCCAAATCTGTAAAGTCGAGGCGAGTAAAGAAGATTAAACTGCTTACAGGACGCAAAATAAAAAAATAAAAAACTCTTCATGTCGGACAAGCTGGAGTTGGACTATCAGCTAGTGTCTGTCACAGATCTCTACGCTGTTTGCGTAAACTCGTGCAGGGAGTGGCAGAGTGCATGGCGCAAGCGGGGAGTCTCCCGGACACAGCGGAACAGACAGCTCGGCTCACTGAGATGAAGCTTTAAACAACTTCCCCCACACACCTCAAAACACCAAACCAGCTCACTCTTACTTCCTTCCTAACACACAGAGAGAAAGAGAGAGCGCCACGTACACTTCTTATTCACGAATCAGGCGTTAGGAAGGAGACAGCGCAGGCGTTAAAACTTTAAGCTCAGGCGACATCTCCAGTTTACGCTAGAAAACTTTTACGCATTTCTAATTTTGCGCCGTTAGGGGAGATAATGTGTGTACAAATGGCCGTTTGTCGTTTAGGAAGCGACTTCTATCGTTTTCCTCTGCGGCTGCCGTCACGCTTTGTTGTGTTGGACATGAATGGTTTGACGACCTTCCCTCTTATCGCGGTGCTCTTAAACAAACACCGCCGACATCGGGGCAAACGAAGGCCTGTTAGCTCGACAAACTTTTTGATCCCCCTCCTCCTCCTCCTCCCCCCCAACGGCCGAATCCGCGAGCGCTTTCCGTTAAAAGCGTGTCAGCCAAAAGTTCGAAGAGTGTAAACCCCCCTTCAACCGCCATCAACCGCCACAACCAACCGCCGCCTCGGTTACATATAAAACTTCACTTAAATCCTCCCGGGAGGATGACTCTCGGATTTCTGTCTAAAAATAGCAGCCCAATGTGTGCCTGAGGATAAGTCTTGTGATTATTTAACTATTTATCATTTATTTTTTTTTAGCGATATTTTAACCGACAACGAAAGCGTCGTCCATCATGTAACGGTGCAGCCCCAACTTACCTCTCTGTTCACGTCACCGTCTGCAGGTTTAATGTCACTCTCAAAATGTACGGCGGTTGGGCTGCTTCTGCTCTTCCTCTGTTCCTGTGGCAGCGGAGGGGGGGATTTCATGTAGTTCTCGCCATCAAAGACAACTTGTTGATCGCCGCAAATCCGCCTCTTTTTTTCCTCCCTTCTTCTCTCTAACCTCAGGTTTGCCACATTCTCAGAAAACAGAAGAGAGGAGAGAAAAAAAAAAAAAAAAAAAAAAAAAAAACTGTGTCGCACTTTCTTTTAAAAACTCTCCCTTGTGGCTGGTCCAAACAGGAACAATTATATTCAGTTTCTCACTTTTTCTCTCTTTTCTGTCCCCCCCCCCCTTTGGTATGATCAACGGGGATCTAAATGGGCCTCGGCTTGTTGCCGTTCAGCCGGGTAGTTCAATTGGTTGGATGTAGTGGATATTATGGTAGTATGTTAAAAGTGGACCGAGCGGAAAGCGGGGAGGAGGCTATTTAAAGTGACCCGGTCCTGTACGCTGTATGAGGGGTGGTTAGTGCCGCAGGAGGCAGTGCTGACAGGGGGAGTGGTGGAACTGCAGGGTGGATCATACACGGGTGCCTTTGGGGATTGGACCATAAAAGGGGTGGCCCCGGTACCCCTAATTCAGCCCCCAAACCGATAGAAAACAAGCATAAGTCAATTAAACATCTCTGCGTTAATTAAAAGAGTGCAATAACTGTGAGTAATACTAAAGGATTTCAGCATTAACATTATCAGTACTCACTAGTTTTAGTCGTCACATCTATATTGCAATTACTTAGGCTTTCGATTGTATCTTCCTGATTATATTCTATTTTATTCTATCATATATATATTGTGTTAAATATTGTACTTTGAGTGACTGTAACAAAAAAATCTCTAACTTGGCATTTTTTATCCTTTTTAACAAGAATATTTTCAATGCTGTTTTCTTCCTGCAGGGTTTCAGAAACACCAAAGTCCAAAAACTGAACTTGCTAGGGGAGTTTGGGGGCATGCATCAAAGCATCAAAGTGGTTATTTCTACACAGTTATTTCAGGACGTTTATTGTATACCTTTTGTAAAAAAAAATCTATTTTTTGGGGTGAGGTAAATAGTAGTCTCACATATCACTGTTCATAACACAAGGGGTATAGTCTTTGGTTTGTTGACAATTGTTTTGAAGGAGAAGACGACTTAAAAATAGCGACTAAGACCGTAAATGTGTCAGGAAATAAAGTGAGAAGTAGGGTTATTTTGTCATCAGGTTGAATACAATCAGACTTCTTTTTGAGCCTTTTGCTCACAGTGAATAAATGTGAGCAATTATTTTACACTGTGGTATTGCTACTCTTATTGTAAAAGATCTGAATTCTTCTCCGCCACTGCAAAATAGTAAAGTTTACAGTAAAGTATGCTAATTAAAATGAGCTAAGAGTGCTTTTTGTTGCAAATACTAGAACTTTAAGTCAGTTTCTTAATGCATGACCTTTACTTATACAGAGTATTTTTACAGTGTGATATTGCTACTTGTACTTAATTAAAAGATCTGAACACTTCATTTATCTCAATGTCACAGCTGAGCTATTTTTTCTTGAACTAATTTGTGGGTTTGTTTTTTTTGTTTTTTGTTTTTTTTACCTTGACAAGTTCAACTGTGGCCCTAGGGGCCTCTTTAAGAGCATGTTCAAACAGACACTGTTGCTAAAACCGCAGGACAGTTTTCTGCCTTCTTGTTGCTCACCTGGACCAAACTCCAATCTAATAGTGAAAAGTGTCTTTAAATATATGACTTGCTGATTCCTTACTTTTTCATGGTTATGCATTGGATAACATGTCTTTGTAATATTTTGTCATTTCTGTTATATTTGCAATCTTTTAAGGATCTCAACATTAGCGAAAAGCCTGACAGCTGACCGACTTTCATGACTGGATGTTGTAAGAAATAAAGAATTTTGTAATTATCTCACCTCTTCTGTGACTAATGTTCATTTCATAATCATCCTTACTCCCTGAAGTCAGACGTCACAAGTTAAGTGACAATGTGCAAATACTTCGGAGCCATTTTGTGGGTGAGGTAGATATACAACAGTGAATACCAACTTACACCACTACACCACTGGACACAAGTCAGCACCAAGTGTAAGCTCACCGTGACGTCATCTATTGGTTTTGAAGGTGAAGACGACTTAAAACTAATGAGTGAGACCATAAATGTGTCAGAAAATCAAGTGAGAAGTAAAGTCATTTTATCATCAGGTTGAATACAATCAGACATCTTTCTGGAGCCAGTTCAGGGCTCGAACCTGCGAGCATTTGGTGGTAGCATTACACTGACAAAGTGCCTTTTGTTGCTAATACTAGTACTTTAAGTCAATTTTTTAATGCATGACCTTTACTTATACAGAGTATTTTTATAAAGTAATACCTAATTAAAAGCTCTGAACACTTCTTCCATCATGTCATATAGAATAGTGTTAAAATGTTGCAAATATTCTTTCATGTTTTCAGAAATTAACATATAAAACTCCCAAATCCTTCAGTCCATTCATCAATTACTACAGTTGCTTATGTTTTAATCTCAGCGTCACTGCTGAAATAACTACAGGCTGGTTCAACTGTGGCCCTACGGCCTCTTCTGAAGCATGTTCAGACAGACACTGGTGCTAATAACTAGGACCTGAGTTGAGCGAGGTCTAATTATCTTTCCTCGGGGCACTTTTAAAATATAGGTGCAAGGGGACTTGGAAGGCTCTCATTGACATTGTTAAGATGCCACAAAGGTTGACTTGCTACCTGACGGACCATGCTGATGAAATATAGTGCATTATGATTAAATAACAATACAATCCAACTGTTCCTCCTTTCACTTAACTATAGTTACAGTGTTCGTGTTGCTCACCTGGACTATCCAAACTAATAGTGAAAAGTGTCTTTAAATATATCACTTGCACATGCTGATTCCTTACTTTTACATAGTTATGCATTGGATAAAATGTCCCCACATATGCTATAGTCGTAGATTCTCAAGGTGCAGTCTTGTTCAGATGCTAACTCTGCTTTTCTTTTTGATATCCTACTATCTCTATGTGGCATTAATCACCCCTCATACTCTCAGGCATGCCTAAGAGGGCCAAGGCGTGTTTGGGCGCATCAGGCCAAACCCAAAATTCTCAGTAGACAGACTTATTGCACTCCCCAGCTGTGGTTACACACCTCAGCCTTTTTCCATCCGCTTCATATCTGAGCTGGATATTGTAGTGTCGTCAATAAATGGTGGTCGGGATCGTGCTGAAGTGGGATTATCGATGACAAAACACAATTGTGTGCTGTTATAATGCCCATTATCTACAGGTTTATAAATTATACTCCACTCACTAATCACAATTCATTCAAGCAGCTCGAATAAAAACACTAAATGTAATTTATGTATATATACATATATTTCCTTCATGTAAATCTTTGTCAGTTTAATCCACAGGTTTCAAATGCAACCAAGACTGGAGGCCAGATGTTTTTACTTTCTTCAATTCTTCTTCAGGCCTATAGAGAGCAGCAAACTCCCCTGGATAACTCAAGTATGATCAAACAACACCCAAACACTGAGGCCAACGTCTCTTCTGCTGTCTGTTTAATAAAATAAGTGCCATTTGATTTGTCACACATTGAGCAGACACACATCCACATTTTTTTTTTCTAAATTGTACTTTATTTTCTTTTAAAGACATATGTTTTAAAACAGCGATTGTAGAGAATAAATAAAGAAACATTATGTTGTTTTTTTTACTTCCATAGTTACATTTATGTAATTAAAAACTCTATAATAAGTGTGTTCATTGTCTTGAAGACCACAGGAATCCTCTTTTTTTTTTCTCTTCTCTTTAAATTAAAAAAGAAATTGTCACATCTCCCCCCCCCCACCCCACCCCCATCATCAAATTGATTACCAAATAAATTAAACGTAAAAAATCAAGATAGAAAAATTCCCAGCCCTTTCCTTCCGCTTTGTTAATTTGAAAAGTAGTGGCAGCAGAGAATCTTTAACTTGTGAAGTCCTTTAACTCCATTTTTAAAACCAAGGTATGTACAGTGAGAGGAAATCCATTTCTCTTCCAGTTTAATTACCCCATGTTTTTTAATTTACGTATAAATAATAAAACTAACTCTACATAACAATATTACCAATGGTAATCATACAGAATAGTATTTTCTTTTGCCTCCGACTGTGCAGACTGGCCTTCCGTTAACGCCATAGACCACAAATCACACTATACATTAGAACCCTGTTCAGTAGAATAACATCAGTGATATGCTTTTTCTTAACATGTAGAGCTTGTTTCCGACAATAGAGTATGTACATAATATAAATGAATCCAGCTGTGGAATGATAGGAAATCTGGAGCACTTCCGATATTGCGGATGCTGATTCTGTTGATGTATTTTGCTGATATAACTGCTGTTGTTGTTGTTGTTGTTGTTTTTGTAAGCGCATACACGTGATACTGCTTTTTAGTGAAGTGTTGCTCCTGTGCTATACGGTTGGTCAAACAACCAAAAAAGGCTGGGACATCCCAAGTGGTTTTCTTGATTGAACTCTTAGGTTTTCCTGGAGGTAAAGAAGAAGAGGAGAGAGAGGGGGAGAAAAAAGAAAAGAAAAAAAAAACACAAAGCATTTTTAAACCAAATCACAGCAGTTAAAACACGCACATTTAAGACTTTGGAAGTGGAGTGGTGTCTGCAATACACACTGCTTGCACTAATGCCTCAGGGGAGTTTCAGTAATCAACTAGTGTCCATGCAACTCAAATAGTGACAGTCATACTGCTGCAAGTGTATGCACGTTCTTAGGAAATAGTTTGTCATCTCTTTTGGCAGGCAAATCAATTCAGAACATGCACAGTAGGAATTCTGGTTGGTGGTAAACTCTCCAGTATTTTTTATTTATTTTTAATAATTTTACATTTATTCTAATAGTATTCAAAACCATGTTGTTTTCTCAGGGATGAATTTCAAAACCATCCACCAAACGGTTTATTTGTAAAGTGGTTTGCTGCTAACAGGGAATCTGCAGGTATCAGAATAATCCGTTTATGACTTTTTAAAGATCTTTGATGTTTAATTTAAGACCAACAGTGCATCAGAGCAGTACATGTGAATCTTCTGTCCCTTATACAGTTTATATATGTATATATATGTATATATATATATATATATTTACTATATTGAAAACCCCTTAACAAGCAGTCGTTACAAACAGTCAAACTTTGTTGAAACCCACTTATTTCCAACTGTATGTTAAGGGTTTATTGTAAAATTAAACTGATTTGTTGTAGCAAAGTTTAAGATCTTTTTTAGAGGTTGAAATAAATTCAGACTGTGTGTATTTCCTGCTTTTTTTCCGAACCAGAAACATCTTTTTTTTTCTACATTTTAATTAGAAAACATTTAATCTCAGACTTCATTTTTAAATAGATTTCTTTTTAACTTGGTCAGTGGCCAGCAGATACCCTGTGCATAAGACACATTATGTTACTGTTATTATAAATGTAAAGTGGAGATATTATTTGAATAATATTAATATTTTATTGGTATTTTTTGGAGTCCCAGAATTCCTACAGAGGAATGCAGTTCCTCAGCCAGCAGCACGTGTCACAGGAACCAAACAGCTTTACCCAAAACCTTCTAAAGTAAGGTTAGTGTCTCAGTTGGTACAACAACACACACACATTCACTTACACATGGACATTTCTTTTCACATGTAGTCAATACAAAAAACACTCACACAAATATATAAATGCACGCAACCTTCTGGCAGTCTCACACTCTCATTCATACGCACAATACCATGTTGTCAACCATTTACAGGGGGGAAGGCACGTTCAATACATGTTCAGTCTCACAAAAAACAAACGAAGTTCAGGCACAAAGTCACTTGGAATCGAGTTACAACCAAACAAAAAACCCCGCACTCACCGAGAACTACCACACCAACCAACTAAACAGAGGGAATATGTAAGAATGATAATCATGACAGACAACAAAAAGGAAACTAATCAAAAACCAAAAGGTCTAAAAGGAAAAAAACCTACTATATCCATATTTGATGGACAGCAGGATAATTTAGCTCTTAGCATTGAAGCTTTTAGAGGACTTAAAAAAGAAAATAAAAACAGCATGTCATGATAATCAATTACTTACAGATGCTGAGGTAAAGTGACAGTTATTGATCAGTGTTTGCAAGGATTAAAACCAGGACAAAATAATAAGAGGAAACTCACAACGCACCAAACACAGTTCATGGTCGCCACAGTAACCCGCCATGCAGTTGAGCATGGTGAATCAAGGCAACGGCCCAAAATAAAAATTGCTAATGGCAACCATCACAGGCAATATCGCCACAGCAACCAACACAGGCCAATTAACTTACAACGCAGTGAGAAGGAAGGGGGGGAGGTTTTAGCGGTTGCTAGGCAACCGTAGCCATAGCGACGCACGTCTCCACGATATATGTATGGACGGGACAGTCTTGAGAGTGGTGTGATGTTTTTTTCAGGAAAAATGGCATATGGCACAGCACAAAAACAATAAATGAAAAGTAAAACAAAAAATTAATGACGAACAGTAGTTGGCATTCAACCCTGCGACAGAACACTGGTTAGACAGAACATTTGAACCGAGTAAAAATCTACTTCTCAATTAAACTGCCCCTACATAATGAGCAAAAAAAAGAAGGATCCACTTTTACACAATCTATTTCAAATTGATGGTATTTTCAGAGTGCTGCCACCTCATTAAAGTTAATCTACTGTAGGGTTATTGACTTCTTCAGTTCCACATGAAAGACAGCCATTTAAGCACTGAGCCCCCAATTACATCCACTCTGTCTCTTTAACTTCCAGACACATTACCAGCTGTCTATCAATCCCTCCCAGAGCCCCTTCCTGTCTCCTCAAATATGTCAATATACGATAACTCACCTCCTTTAGTAAGGCCTGTTGGCATCCTTGGGCCTCTTCAGCTGCACCTTCAGTCTCTTCATGCCGATCTGGAAGCCGTTCATGGCCTGGATGGCAGTCTGGGCGCTGGATGGGTTGTCAAAACTCACAAAACCTGAGGAGGAAGTGGACAGAATGAAAGAATCAAAACATGGCGTGGCAACAGCAGTGTAATTTATAGGGAGAAAAAGGTGAAAGGAAGGAAGAAAGACTGTAAAAACCACAAGGCAACAATGACTATCTTACACGTTATCATCACAGTGACTCACCGAAGCATTTACTCTGGTTGGTGGCGCGGTCCACAAAGACCTTTGCAGAGATGACGTTTCCGAAGGGCAGGAACATCTGCAGTATCTCAGAGTCGGTGAACTCTTGCGGCAGGTGGTAGATGAAGATGTTACAGCCCTCGGGACCTGTACACAAATAGAGGAGAGCCACGACGACACAGACGTGACATGACAAGGTTAGGATCGGTGAAAACTGCAAGAAACATTCAGAAACAGTCATAGTTCAGTTAGTGCAAGTAACACCATGTGCAGCAATTATAGCACATTTTATTTGTAGAGGGCTTTCTGAATACTCAGGGGTGCTTTTACTTGACAAGTCAGGGAAGTAAAAAAGAAACTAAAATAAGAAGAAGAAAAGTGCAGAATAGCAGAATAGAGCAGGACATAAAATGTAATATTAATCGCATTTTAAAGGGAATTTTGGAAAGTCTGATTGATACCACTCTTGTGTATGTGAAGTGAAAATGAATCTACAGCCAGCAGCTGGTGAGCTTAACTTAGCATAAAAATGTAAAACCAGAGGAAACAGATATCCTGGCACAGTCCAAAAGTAACAAAATCTGCCTACCAGTGGTAATTAGTGAGCTTTAGAGGTGCTGGCAGACAGATGTTGTTACCTTTGGACAGAGCCAAGCTAGCTGTTTTTCCCATTTCCCAGCTTCACCTCCTACTCCACATTTGGGTTTAGCACAAACATTTTTTAAGGAAAAATAGTTTTATTTCATATTATTATGATGTTGAAACATCAGGGCCATAGTGGAGGCTCAACAACGTCACAGACTGGATCCTATATGTGACTTAAAGGACCATGATTAGTCAATTAATTGATTAGTCAATCCACGGGAAATTAATCTGAAACAATTTTGATAATTCAAGTAATTTTTCAAGCAAAAAACCTAAATATTCTTTGGCTCCAGCTTCTTCAGTGTGAATATTTCCTGTTTTCCCCAGTTTTATGATTGTAAAGTGAATATCTTTGGGCTTTTGGACAAAACAAGAGATTTGAAGACCTTGGGTTTTGGGAATTTGTGATGGACATTTTTAAATGTATTTATTATTTATTAGATTTAATTTATTTAATTTAATTTATTCATTTTCAGACATTTTATTGACTAAACAATAATAAAATAATCAAAAAATACTTGTTTTTACAAAGATTAATTTAAACTTTATCTTCAAAAAGCTCTTAAAGTCTGCTAACACATATCATGTCATCCTGAAATGAATGAAAACTGATACCTAGAACTTTTTAAAACACAGCAGCACTGTTTACAAAGTGTAATCTGCGATGTAAAGTATGTGTGATTTGTGGTAAATGGGCTAAAACATACAAAACCACCAGAATGTTTCTCTAAGATTAGATTAACCCACATTCGTGCGCAGCTCTCTGAGTTTACCTTCTCGCTGTTGCAGCTGCTGTGGCTGCTGCGGCTGCTGAGCCACCAGCGTGGGCTGGTGAGGGAACGGTTGTCCCACCAGGCTGTAGGCAGCAGGGTAGGTGGCTGATGGAGAGGAGGAGCAGGTGAGCAGAAAGCAGCAGTGAGGAAGGCAGAGACTGCAAACTAATCAGTTTTTTCCTCAAAACAACATCTGACGGAGCTGCATTTCCCACCTACAGATTTTCTCAAACTGTGAGATGTTTTGCATATATTTTGCGATGCATGACTCATTCTATAGAACTGCAGATTCTATAGGTTACGTTTGTAATATATGTGCATGTTTTGACTTCTTTCTGCTTTACACATAAAGTGTTGGGTAGTCTGAGAGTGCAAAGGTAATGTAACTGCATTCCATTATGTTACATAAAACTGTTTTAAATTCTAGTTGCTACTAACTAAAAGGTTATTTCAAGGAACTGAGACAAAAAAAAAACCTGAGGTCCAGTGGTTAAGTTTTATATAAAATGTAACAAAAAAGACTTTTCTCCTACAAAAAATATACTTCAAAAAGAATATGCACATCATTTTCAGTAGCAGCAATAAGACTAGTGCATAGGAACACATTTCTATATATAAATGTCACTTTTTATCACAGTTTATGGCGTTATATTGGACACATCTGACACAGTTCGAGGCTCACCTGTATAGTGCTGCATGCCTGTATAAGCTTGCTGCAGGGGGTCCAGGACAGGACTCTGAGCTGTGGCAGAGTAAACACATTGTCACTAACTGCTATACACACACACACACACACACACACAAAAAGAAGCTATTTGGGGCACATCAGCACGCTCCAAATAACATTTAGTGCTTTAGTTTCATTTCATTTCCTGTTAATTAGACCGTCGCTGTTGCACATCAACACAGGAAGTGAATCTGCGGAGGAACATTTTATGACAGAAATAGTTATTTCTTTACTTTCTCTAGCGGCGCTGCTGTGAAAGGATGTTATGGCTATACCTTGATAGGCATGAACCCCATTGGTGTACAGGGCTTCAGTTGCTGATTGGCCGTTAGGTGGAGCTGGCACAGAGGAGTAGCTGTTCACTGCGATTGGTGGAGGCAGAGCAGGAACAGGTGTGGCTGCCATGGAGGGTGGAGTGCTGGTACCTGCAGACAAGTTTAAGGCCGCCTTTATTTTAATACATGCAATCAGCTAAAATCAGAGAGTTAAAGCAGGAAAAAGAGGAGAGAGGTACAGCTTTGTGTTGAAACAGACAATTATTGGATTTCCATTTATATTAGTGGTCTATGAAATAACTTGAGTAAGAGTCTACAGCCAGGCTAGAAGCTCTGAGAGGCTGTTCTCTGCTTTGAGCTAAATGCTAACATCAGCATGCTAATATGTTCACAATGACAATACTAACATGTTGATGTTAAAGGTACCCTGTGGAGTTTATGACCTCTAGTAGCGCCATGGAGCATTTTTTAATGATGTGAGTGACAGTTTCACACTGTTCCACTGATCTACAGGTGACGGTGCGGCAAGAAACGCAGGAATACATCAACAAAGTTAGAGAGGAAGAGGACTGCAAGCTAGTAATGTTAAATAAATGTAAGCTAACAATGTAGGATTTAAAATACTTTAAAAAATCAGCTTTGCAAATGTTTTATGAGTATGGAAATGCATTCAACACTTGTGTTACCTAGAGGATACACAGTGTGTTTTGGTGAGTGACATGAATTGTAAATATAACTTTTGTTTGTTTACAATAACCTCCACAGAGCACCATCGAGCAGATATTGTTAACCATGTTTATCGTAAGCACTAAGGGGAAATTAATGTCTTTATTTACTGTTTACAGTTTTATTAATGTAGAGTAGCTGCTCTAACTATTTTAAATGGAGAACTAAAGTACCGAAAACAGAGTTTTTTGGCTGCCTTGTCAGAATAAGTAACCAATTTAGAAGAGTTTTTAGTAATTCTGTTGGGATTTTTCATTATTTATGACATTACATGCAACAGACAAATTGAAAAGCTAATGAAAAAATGTGTTGCAGTCCAAATGTGGATTAGACCAATAAATCGGTTGGAAACAAGTAGATACATTACATATTTCTCACACCAGAGAGCGATGCCAAGTTTATTTAACACGTTTTTTTAGTGTATTGGCTGATATTCACCAATTCTACCTTCTTTTCCGGCTTAAATGTAAAAAGCTGACATAATGACAGACTTTAGAAAGACAAAAAACAACAACTACAAAATAGATGTTTGTTATTTTGTCCTCTTAGGTCCACCACTCCTTGTATATCTGTCCTCATATTTCAAGCAGAAATCTAATCAAGGCCAGCCGGGGCCAGACATCTCTGCCTCTCATTACCTGAGGAGGGGGTGATGGATGCGATCGGCGTGGCAATGATGCTGCTGGGGTTGAGGGCGGCGAGCTGCTGCATCTGAACCGCAGCCACCGTGGCAACAGGAGAGAGGTAGGCTGACTGCGCCACCAGGGCCTGCTGCTGCATCAGCTGGAGGACGCAAAGAGAGAGAGAGAGAGGTTGTGATTGAGAGGAGGGTGGGAGAGAGGGAGTCAGGGGGATTCAGTGTTTATGGAGTATGTTTAGAGGGATCTGTGTGTGTTTTTTTGTGTGTAGAGTGTAGACTGTAAGTGTTCCCTGAGTGTAATCTCAGGCCTGCAAAGTAGAGACACTTTAAAAATCTGTATATTACAAATGTAGATGGACTCACTTTCAGATTTCCATTATTAACAAGCTCAAATAACAGAGCTTGGGCATTTTAAATTGATCATGTTTAATATAATTGCAATGGCTCCAGTCTGAACCTCAATCAGGAGTCAGTATATTTGCCTCATCTCTGCACACCGCAACCTAACACACACAGACCAACTGTCCCTCATGGTTATTATGACCTTCATAATCAGTTATTGTGCACAAATCAGCATGATAATTGGTCTTAACATCATGTACACTACATGTGTCTGGGCTGTACGGGTGAATCGATCCTATCAAAAGCCCTGCCTCTGCTTTTGTGTAGTTTAAAAAAATTTCCCTTTCAGTAAACAAGTTTATTTTAATAGAACTTTTTTACCGAACGTCGCTATAAATCAGCACATTCATCACGAGTAAAAATGTTGTCAGGCCTCCTTAGGCATCACAAATTGAACAACAGTAAATGAGCCAGATCTGAAACCATTTGCAGTAAACGGTCAATTAGCAACGACAAGAGCAGTAACGTGGCTTTACTCTACTTTGTAAATTGCAATTTTTCCAGTTAAAATCATCTCTTCTATTATAAACACATGGAACATACAACATAATCTTTTATCTTTTCTTTTTAGTATGAGTCAAATATTTTTCGCTTTTTGTCACATTAGATTTTACTGCTGTATTTTGACCTCTTTTTCTTTTTATATGGACAATTTACTGTGGATCCACCACCAGTTGCACAAACCCTCAGTAGGCAAAACATAACCCTATTTGGTTATTCTGTATTTAATTGTGGAAAATTACTAAATAAAAAAATTTAAAAAGATATAGACCCTTTAGCAAGACTGAGATTGTGTCCTTGTGAAAGGTAGAGTGTGTGTCTTCGAGTGTGTTTCTTGTTTCAAAATGTGTCTTGTGTGTGTGTGTGTGTGTGTTACTCACGGCCTGTGTGTAGGCGTTATAAGCCCCAAGGTGCAGGGTCATGGGACTGATGACTCCCAACTGAGAGGCCACCTGCTGCATCCGCCGGAGCCCTCGCTCCTTCTCCGAATCGGCAAACTTCACCACCAGGCTGGATGAGGCGCCCTGCGGAGGAAACAGGAAAACTCATATTCATACTCATACTCAACTCCATCTGTGTGACACTTCACGTCAATCTCTGTTTTCCCCCCATTTCTATATCAGTTTTATACTGTGTCATCAAATAACGTAAAAAATATGTGAATAAAATACTTTAAAATACAGACAACAGGTTGTAATTAAAAAACAGTTTACAACATGTTAGTTACCAGACAAAAATCACTAATAAAATAAAGTGTGTGTATATTACACACATATATAAAATGTCCCAAAAACTGCAATAAATATCTCTTTTTCACATGAAGTTAGTTGTTCATTTAAGATAGTCGACCTGCACCAAAGCACAGTAAAAATCACAGACAGCAGAAAAAAGATGAGCACATAAAAAAAAGTGTCCTCTATCGTGTGTGTGTGTGTGGAGGAGGGGGACAGAAAAAGAGAAGTGGTGACTATTAGCTGAGTCACCACGTTGAGTGTCCAAATGACTGGATTTGGAGCATCTAAATGTGTGAATGTTTGAGTACATGTGTGACCATGTGTTT